GCGTCCAGGAACTTGTACGTCATTTTTGGCATAGATGGTTGCATGAATGGATTCCCAGTCTGAGTGTACGGAAAAAGTGGCGCAGGGAGCAAGTTGACCTAAAAGTAGGAGACGTTGTCATTGTCATGTCCCCGGATACACCAAGAGGAAAATGGCCTTTAGGAAGGATTGTAAGAGTTTTCCCTGGAAAAGACAGCAAAGTGCGTGTTGTTGATGTTCAAGTTGGAAAGACTGTGCTACGGAGACCAATTGTGAAACTTTGCCCATTAGAGCAATGTTGAACTTTAAGTGACATTATTAAGACAAATGCTTTTGAACATTTCATATCTTTCAGAACAAATTTTTTGCATAAGTTTTGTTGATATTTTCATATCAAGAAAGGGGAGGATGTTCTGGAGAATATTTTAGTGGTTGTCCTGTGACATATTTCAAGTGCATGCGCAGTTTTGTTCTAACGAGCAAGAGGTTTTTGCTTTTCTGCCAGTTCATCACAATTTTTGGAGCAAGCAAGATGAAATTAAATTGTTGATGTTTTGTTTATTTTCTCGTGGTTTTTATGGACTTTCGACCGACCAATTATCCTGGCGAACATACTATCATGTTGGAACTATTTTAAAGAACACTTAAAAAGCATCACTGCGACTCCAATGCTTTCTGTAACAACACTAAAGGCTCTTACATTTGTACAAGCGCCTTGAACATAGGATAAGAGCGCTATAGAAATAAATAAAGTTATTATTATTACATGCAAGCCAGAATATACCGGAAACGGCGTAAACTGCACAGGTAAAATAAGGAAGCGAAAACCTCCAGCTGATAGTACTGAATAACCTGATAGGAAAGCATTTCGATTCAACAAATGTTTTCGGGTTCCATTAACTAAGAAGTATGTTACATCTTTAGGGGTTCTTTAAAATAGTTCCAACATGATAGCATGTAATAGGCTGCTTGTTTATCGTTGGCATACGAACAGGCCCAATTAGGGGGAGTTTGGGGTTAAAGTGGAGCTCTCGCGCAGCGGAGCACCATGGGTAAAAAAATTGTGACCCATCCGAGAAAATTTGGTAATCACGTGGCTGTACACCGCCCTCCCGCCCGCCCGAAGGTCCGTCCGCACCACAGGTATACCAATGTAAAATAATTCAATCAGCAGGTATGGCAGCCCAAATGCAACTCAAGGTTGTATTTGGAAAGAAATCGCATAACCACTCGGACTTTTAGAAACTTTTAACGGACTTATTCCTGGGCGCCCGCGTGTTTTTTTTTTAATAAAAAATGCAATACTTTTCACCTTGCATAGCCTTGGAATATGTCCATATTTGAGACCACGGCTATCTTTAAACGCTACAACAACAACAACAGTTTACACAATTTGAAAATAATTTACAATTATGTTACCTGCAATCAGGGGGCTAAATTCTTGGTGGGTAACAATACAATAATACCGTAGTCTCCTAGTAATAATTACGCGCAGAAATTAAATAGACGACGCGCCCATCTTGATTAACTCACCGCTGACTAACATATATTGAGGGAGGTTCAGGGTTCTTTCTTGCAAAAACTAAAATTATATTTTTGAAAGATAAAAACGTTAACTACAATGTACAATAAGAAATGGATGGGCCATAAGCCGTAAACTGACTTCTTGAGCCGGCTTTCGACATACTTCATACATACATCAATTTATGTCTTACTATTTTAGTTATTAGACAGTGCCGAGTGCTCCATTCGACAAACAAACTAAGCTAATTAAAAAGTATTTGTTTATAAAAAGTTTCAGATTGCCTCAACTACCGAAAATTGACCAGCAGTGACAGGAAAGTGTCCCATGGTTCATCTCCACTTCGTTGTGATAAATCACTCCGACATGGATGGTATCGTTTCCAAGGTAACGCAGGGACAAAAATGCCTACGTCATGCGTTGCTCCTCACAAATGTAGTACCCATGCCACTGGCTGGCTTAACGGTGCTCATCCGTCAGTAGAAGAAGGCAAAGTCACCAAAAAGGTCTGCTTCAGCTGGGGCTCAAACTGCTGCACTTGGTCCATCAGTATTGAAGTACTCAACTGCGGAGGTTTCTTCCTGTATCACTTCAAAGGAACACCCCCGGAACATCCATGTAATCTTCGATATTGTGGTACAGACTGAGGGTTTTGATGTACCGATACATCCAAAACTAGGCAGAGAAGTACTAGGACTGTTGAAGCAAGCCAAAAATTAGTGATTGCGCGCGACATCGCTTTTTTCATTAACGTGATCTTTCTAATTCAGTCTATCTTTCTATGTTGACTTTTAGATTCATCTCATTTTATAATAATGGTCATTTCGAAGATCTCCTTCAGTATCAGATATGCCGCCTTTGTATACTCTTGAAAACACTCAGTGCAAAATTTTATATATACTTTTTAGAATTTGAAAACTAGAATATAGAGGCCGGTATTTTCGGAGATTTGAACTATGATGTAGGAGCCTGACTATTTGACCATAAAGCCCGAAGATATCAGATATATGCAACGTGTCTCATAGCATGCTCGACAGCAGTCGAACGATGTAAGAAAAATAGAGAGGGTGGCTGAGAGTAGAAGGGACAGAACTGATCGAACATCATTAACGTGTAATTAAGGCAGACGCTTCGCAAATGATTCGTTTTTAGCCTGCGTAGATGGCTTTCTTTTAGGAAAGGGGAGCACTAGCAAGGGGCGAATCTCGAACTTTCCTCTTCAATAAAGCGCAAGCTTCGCGCACCCTAAGTGTAACTGATATAGATAACTGATACAGGTACAGGTAACAAAATTGAAGATGAAAATCATTTCTTACTAGATTGTAAGGCTTATTCTCAGATCAGAGAGACATTTTTCTCCGAACTAGAAACTAAAATACCTGACTTCAAATCGCTTTCACACGATACTTTAATATCTCTTCTTATGAATTCTTCTGATTATTTGATTAAATGTCAATTAGTTTCATTTATCTCGCAATGCTTTGAATTAAGAACCAAATTAATATCAATGAATGAATGAATGAGAACTGTAACGTTTTGTAATGTTTTGCACGTACTTATTAGCTGCATTAGTTCTTAAATTTAGACTATTAGCCTTTGCAATACTGTAATTCCTTTATGGTCATGCAAATAAAGCATTTGTTGTTGTTGTTGTTGTTGTTGTTGATATAAACTGGACAGTAAAACTTTTAATATTAGAAAGTCTCAGGACTGAAATAAAAAAAATACAGGCAGGTCCAGTCTTTAGTAATTTTGATTCCGTTTTCAGAATTGATCTCGCAATAGCCTCAGTGCATGGTACCTTGTTTAACCTGAAAGTGACCCAAATAAGGTACGTGATATATATACAAACAAATGTTCGTATGCATTACTGACAGTGGAAAAATTCTACCCTGCGGATCACACCAGAATTCAAAAAGTCCTATATTGGTTTGTTATCGGACGAGCCAAATTGGAATGTTTTGGTACTGCATCTTTCAAATTAAGAAATAAATAAGTCTTGTTGAAAACCAATCAGAATGGTGCATTTTGTTAGCGAAGCAATTAGTTGAAGCAGGAGTATCGGCTCCTGGTTGAAGCAAGACAGAATAACCAAACAGAGAGTGGATGTTAGGTCGTTGGGCGCGGATACGTGAATTTCACTGAAGTTATTTTTAGAGGCTGTGATTAAACGGATGTCTTCTCCCTGGGACGTTCGCACATTTTTACCGATTGCTTGAAACATGATCAGGTCCACAATCTTAAAGCAGACGTCAATGCAGCAAATTGTAATGGCGGCTGTTAAATTCTCTCTTAATAACAATAAACAAAAACCTTTGAATGCAGAGGTCCACTCAACGCGTAAAAAAAACCGACTGGTTCTTTCTTGCCAGATCTCTAATGTAGATATGCTAATGCCAGACGTCACTTGAAGTAGGAATTAAAACAAAACTGAATTCACGGCTGGCCATACGGCAAAGAGCTGATTTATTTGAGGTCAATATTTCGGCTAACAAAATTAGCCTTCCTGAGGGCCAGAGCTACACTGGAGGGGAATACTATAACGGCTCCTGAAGTTTGAATTGAAATTTACATGAGAGGTTAATAATAAACTAAAAATGTAAACATCGTCAGATAAAAAACATGTTGGATAGGTTAATAATTATACAGTAAAGTGATTGAAAAATCCAAAAGCTGGTCATTTTTACATTCTCCCTAAAATTCACAGAGATGAAAACCCAAGGCGACCCATCGTATTAGCCAATGGACATCTTACCGAAAGAATATCAGCTTGCGTTAGCTACCACCTTAACGCTTTGGTGCAGTTGCTACCTTCCTACGTTAAAAACACAACCGATCTTCTCAACATACTTAAGGAAATCGAACGTCCTCCCAAAAATGCTATTCTTGTCACCCTTGGCGTTTCTTCTCTCTACACTAATCTTCTAACAAACGAAGGTATCGACATCTGTAGAATAGCTCTAAACCAGCGTACTGAAAGTTAAAAAGAGTGGGTTTTTTTTATTCACTGGGTCACCACACCTCAACGAAGTTTATGTTCTGTTAGGGACGGCACAGTTTTAAAAAAGGACGGGGTGTGCACGCCCCCTTTAATTCCCTCCGCAATCCTCTCCTGGGAAGGAGGCGGGGAAGGGGAGGGTAAAGGTCCCTAAGCCCCCACCCACAGTTCTGGCGTCCGTCTCTCTCTAGAAAGGTTTTTTATATGTGTACCAGATTTTTTAGTCTTCTTCAACAGTGAACTGCTTATAACCCTGCAATTAAGGTAAACTCTTCATAGCCGGTCTGTTTTAATTTCCGATGGAAATTGAAATAGTGAAATGGTGATACACAAAATGTGAACCTAATAGAGAGACACACTTTGCACTTTATTTATTGCATCAAAAATAAATTTATTTTCGCCACAATTCTTTAATTAGTGGAGCTTGAGCATTTGTAAGCTCGAATCGAAACGAACTCCAGATTAATTCCAGACACGTGTCTTCCCTTTCACTATACTTGGTCAGGGAGAGTCCATTGACCTCGCAAAGGGGGTAAGTTGGATATCGTGTAGACGAATCCGTGAGCCAGACATGAAAACGTGTCTGAATGAACGGCGGACGTGCTTGAGTCTGAAGTTGAAGATGAGAGAATTCATGGCTGGATTCAAGAATACAAATGGCAAAAAGAATCGGGTGCCCGCGAAAAGCCATTTTTCTCCTCGAAACTCTGGGAAATAGAGAATCACGTAGAAAAATGACAGGTAAGGGAGAAGAGACAGTAAAAAACACGAAACCACTAGCTGCGTGGTTACACACAGGGAATTTTCTCTTTCTTTACGCTTGGATTCGCCTTCCCTGAAACCGCTCGGTGTACTTTCTGAGCCTCCTAGCAAAATCTTCGCTTGTTTATTTTGTCGCCGTAGTGCGACTACAAGTGCAATGTTGACGGAAATCAGCGTAACCATAGGCATGGTTATAATCATATGGGCGTGGAAGGGTCTGTCTCTCCATCGCGAGCCTGAAAAGCTCGCCAGACTCACTGACAACGGGTAAAGCACCGCAAAGCTTAGAATTATCACGCTTCTCTTAACGCTGGACTTTCGTCGGTACAGAAAGGGACAAGCCACTGCAAATAGTCTTTCACCAGACAATACGAGAGTTATGAAATTTGCAGTACATATCGTGAATTCTGCAGAAATTGCGGCAAATCTGGTTTTGTCCAGCACAGGGGAGTCATCCTCTCCCATACCGCACTCAACGTAGTTGTTAATGACCCATGGTCCAGTTACACTTCCGCTGAGAAAGTCCAACAGCGCAAGAGCACCAACATAGACCATCATGGGCTTTCTGAAGCACTTGAAAGGGTCTTTGTAAAGCACCATTAGGAGACAGCCATTGGTTACGAAGGCTATGGTACAGAATATCACAAGAAACACTGCCCCTGTCAGGCAGATGGACACTTTTATATCACTTGCCATTCCTATGTCTTTTGAAGTCGTAGGAACTTCTCAAAGGTACAGGTAAATTCCATGGCGTAAGCTAGAAGAAACAGAAATTATATTTGTTAAAAGCAGAGAAATTGTCACAAAGGTGCTTTGAATCAAAGCCCAATGCACTGTTAACAGGAGCCATAATCGGGGTAGGAGACCGCAGCTGGAAACCTTTTCCAGTAATGGGGTTGGTTCCATCGAAATAGCTTCGGGCCTCAGTTTGGTCTGAAAATAAGGGGTGGCCCGGGCCCCCCGGCTCCCCCTGAATCCGCCACTGCTGGCTTATACTTACACTGTGCATGCATTGCCTACCATGATATGAAGCGCTTAGAAAATTCTATAATTCAAAGAAAGTCGCAAAACGATCGCCCATCTCCTCCCCACACAAGATCCGCGGAAACACCCGGGTTCCCGCTCTAGTTTGTGAAATTGCGGGTGTGGCTATTTCGATGGAGCCGCGTGGACCCCGCGCTTGTAGTCGCCTACCCCTATTGTGGCTCCTGCTGATAAATTATCCTGCAGTATTACCTTCAGGCGAGGGAGGGGAAGGGGGAGGTCTCGATAAGGACTTCTAGGACCACAAAGGCGATACCAAGAAAAACATCGTTCATGGAAAAAGAATTCAAGCCAAATAAAATACTATTTTTTTTAAATTGTTTTTTATTCTTTCAGCCTTTTACTAAATTGCCCCTGGAGCTGAATTCATGAGGACTGTTTTCTAGTTAAAACAAAGAGTCAAAAAGAAAATAAATAAACACGTTCATGTGATTCTGTCGTATTGTTCTTTTCTTGCTGTCCACTAACCCCTACCCCCGCCGTTTGCTGTTCTATATATAGTCGCTAGACGGTACATGACGGTGGGCGAAGAGTTGCAAACTGAAATAATTGAGGTGGCGACAAGTCTGTTACTCATTGTCTGGTGAAATATCTTTTTTTTCCTTCCATCCTGATGCGGCCCAGCTGACAAGGGTCGCTCTTCGTTCAGCTGGTCAAATTTACTCTTGCCGATTTATTATTAGTTCAGTTCCTTAAACTCGCACATTGAAAAAAAAAAAACATTTAGTACAATTGTAAGCTGGTAAGAGGCCGCAAGGAAATCCCAGAAGCCAGTGACAGACGATACAAATCTATTATCCTTCACTTTCCCTTCTTTTTGTTCAGTTTCTTTTTTTCCTCGAAAAAAGCGCTTTAAAAGCTCAAAAGCCAAAGACGTATTATCTTTACTTTGAAAATTTTCAGATCAGCATTTGAGTACATAAAAATAAAATCAAAGAAGACAACGAAGTGTTTGTTTTTGTTCGTTGTTGATTTACTTCAGTGTCTTCTGTTTTCTAAGAGCTACACAAAAAACCTTTTATTCGACTAAACCACGAGGGACATCGTTTCCAACACATATCTCGATTGTAATGTTGATCGCATGTCTTTCGATAATTGAAGTTTGAGGTAGCAAAAGATTACTTACGCGCGTGCTTCATCTTCCTCAAACTTATTAACCCCAAAAAATAAACGCGCTTAAATAATTTCAATGATTTTAGCCATTTTAAGATTTTAAAACCAAGAAAATGATATCGTGATCGTACCACATGCTGACCTCAATTCCACAAGAAGTTAACGACTGGGTACGCTTTATGATGTATCGCCTTTCATATTTAGTCTAAAAAACTCATCATTTAATTTCAAGAATATTATAGCTAAGATTTGTTTCAAGAAATCAAATTATAGTAAGGCACCTCAGTAAGGAATACTCATGATATTTTTATACCATGTACCGGCCATGCTGTGCCCAACATCATCACAGCAATTATCGACAAATGCATACGTGACTTGCTTTAGCATCGCAATTAGTAGTTTAATTGGTAATTTATACAGTAACAAGTCTAGCATTTTCTGAAACTCCGTGCAAAGACGAGCCTCAACAACCATTTCTTTCAGTAGAGTGTGGAAATATCATTGGGTATCATTAGTCTGTTTGAATTGATATCACGTTCGCAATAACCACAGACGTATAAGCGGGTAAAGCGCTGCCCAGTGTTACCGAAATAGATTAAATATCTTAGAAATTATTGGAGATACATGACGAGAAATATAATAGAAGAAAGTTGCATTCATCAAATACCTCATCGACTGAATAAAAGCCTACCTTCTTGGAGATTTTCGTTTAAGAGGCGGATAGTTTTCCTGGACAGTCATGCGAACCGGTACTTAAGGGAAGTCACACAATCCGCCTGTCACCCAGTCACTGTATGTCACTCAGGAGCCTGGAGGTAGATTTTAAGGAGTGTGTTCCGTTTTTTAAAAACCCGTTCGAACAAAGGGATTTTTTGGAAAGCTTTTCGGTGCGGCAGAGTTCTGGTTAATAAAATGTTTACTTGGTTGGGCAAATTTTGACTTTTGCTCTTTCTTTTAAAGACGAATTTTTTAAGGGGGGGCTGGTTTTTTACGCTTTGCAAGTTTTTATGCATCTTGTTGAGTTTTGATTCGCTGTGTTTAATTTGGGTAGGGCTGGGTACCTTTTTGAAATGACATTAATCTAAAATAGAAGTTACGTAATATTTCATTTTATTTTACTTTTGCCATTCGAATAGTACAAGATAAATCACGGACAAACGTTAGAGCTTGAATCATAGAAAGTTTACAACACGTGTCCAGGAGCTCCTGACGTGACAAAGAACAGTCAAGATCGGTACATTTAGATAAGTTTGCCACAAAATGAAGAAAGATGGAAGACTGGAAAGGAGAGGGGCACATCTAGGTCAACTAATATTGTGCCCCTAAAATAAATTAAAATGGTGTTGACAAATTGTTTCTTGGGCATCTTGTGACGGCTGTTAGGCTTTGATGAGTTAATATAAGGGTGGGCTGGCCCTCTTGCTAAATCTTGGTTGCTCAAAACGAGATCTTAGTTGCTAAAACCCAGATCTTGGGTGGCAGGCCAGTCCGCCTTTTTAAACGATACTAATATACAGTGAATATATAGATTTAGCCAGGGCTAAAAGCGAAGCTCTCGTTAATATTTATAGTTTACTAATAAAACAAAATATAAAATCGTGTAACGCCAAGGAGCGAAGGCAACGAAAACAGCCAAAAAAAAATCAGAGGGTCTAATTAACAAAAAAGTTTGTACGTGCAGCACACTTTTTTTCTAATTAGCAAAAAACGACTTTGCACTCGTTTTTTGTACATTTCTTTGCCGTGGTTTTGCACGACTACAACATGAGATTTCCAGAAACTTCCTAGTTACACGTTTTATGGAAGAAATGTTGTATGTGTTCCTAGCTGTTCAGTTTTTTTCGCTGCCGCTCATTATCACCTTTGTGGCAGCTAGCATTTCCCCTTTTTCTCACCGCCGCTATTAAATTTTTTTGTTTTTCTTCCAACGAAATTGGTCTCGTTTGGTTTTTATCTCTCGCTCTAGCTTTCTCTGTTATTCACGTCAATGTAGACATTGAAATGAAGTCGAAAGAAAGAATCGGCATTTGTTGTTGTTGTTTTATCTCTAAAAGGCCCCGAAGCTATGCAATTTACCGCCGAAACGAGCAAAATTTCATCCCGGCTTACATGAAGGGGTGGACGTACGTTACGGACGATTTTTCTTGGATGCATAGATTACCAAATTTTCTCACTCATGGTGCTCTATTGCGCGCTTTTCGCGCGCGATAGCTCCGCTACAAAAATTTTATGAGGAAATAATGCATGATCCAAGCCAGTTTAGTAAAGCGGGCAAGCTCAGCTGGCCGGTTAGCCTCATATAAACAGGCCCTCAAAGTATATATATATAAAGCGTTTCTTAAAGGATTTGAGTTCCCAAATATTAAATATGTTTTCAAGTTCTTGTTTTTAGCATTCTAGCCAGTTTTAGATGAAGTGATGATGACACTCTTAAGTTTTAAAGGATTTTAGTGGTTTCGACCGCTACCAGCAGTAGCTTCGTATTTTTAGCAGTTTATTGCTATCAGCAAATAATCTAAATTATCAACTTAACATATGCCGAAGAACGTAGGATCTATAAAGACCTGATCGTCATGTGTCTTCAAACAATCAGCAAAAATAACAAGTAGGCAAAACTCTGCAAACAGAATACTGCAATGCTGATCGTACTACGTGAAAATTAACTTTCTTTTTGCAAGACATCAACCCGACACTGAAAGAACTCAAAACAGAGCGGGATTGTAGCCACAGAGTTCATCAGTATGGCGTTACAGACAGAGACAAGACAACCCCCGGCCAGTGCTTTTTTAGCCTGTTCCAGGCTCCAAGATAAGTGGGGCAGTCGTGCAATAAAACCATTTCACGACTCCGTAAGAGACTTCTGCTAGCAGGAAAGATGACGTCGACGTCTTAATTGACTACCTGAGAGCCTGACACAGCAGGCTAATGCTTTTTCAGAATTTTGAACCTTTCCGTTTATTTTTGACTTCTGCAGAAAAGGCGTAAGTCTTAGAATGGTCCTCAGATAGCCAAGGAAATGTCTTATTTCCGTTATGAAAATATGGGTTTTGTGCAGTCTCTGTTCTAAAATTAATTTTCTTGGCCCATTCCACCCACTTCTTAAGGTTGAGTGCAGCCTGGGACCTAGAAGAATAAACGAAGATGGCGCCTGGAAAATGGCGCACGTGTGAACGGAGCTTCAACTAAATAGTGATTTCATAGCCTGAAATTCATCCGATTGTTTCGAGTCGTTTTCTCCTCTCAACAACTGAGGGAGTAATAACGACTCGAAGTCATCGGATGAAATTCAGGCTAGTGATTTCACCGATTGAATTGAAATTCAGCATGGTGGCTTCAAAGGCTAACAATTTGGTTGCTTATTCGTCGTTGTTTGGCTAATTTGCATGGACAGAAATGTGCTACCTCAGCAATGGGAAGCGACCTCACAAAGCATGCACAAGCCC